ATATGGGGTCCTGGACATATGGGGTCCCAGGGTCATGGGGTCCAGGGGGGATGGGGTCCAGGGTTGCCAGGGTCATGGGGTCCTGGGGTCCCAGGATCATGGTGTCCAGGGGGCATGGGGGCATGGGGTCCCAGGGTCGTGGGGGCCAGAGGGCATGGTGTTCAGGGGGCATGGGATCGAGGGGACATGGGGTCCTGGGGTCCTAGGGGATGTGGTGTCCTGGGGGTATGGGGTCCTGGGAGTGTGGGGTCCCAGGGTTGTGGGGTCCAGGGGGCATGGTGTTCAGGGGACAGGGGGTCCTGGGGGTATAGGGTCCTGGGGTGTCAGGGTCATGGTGTCCCAGGGGACATGGTGTCCTTGGGGGTATGGGGCCCTGGGGTCCCAGGATTATGGTGTCCAGGGGGCATGGGGTCCCGGGGGCATGGGATCCTGGGGGTATGGGGTCCTGGGGTGCCAGGGTCATGGTATCTAGGGGGCATGGGGTCCTGGGGTCCCCAGGGTTGTAGGGTCCAGGACGCAAGGAATCCTGGGGGTATGGGGTCCTGGGGTGTCAGGATCATGGTGTCCAGGGGGCATGAGGTCTTGGGGTTATGGGCTCCAGGGCACATGGGGTCAGGGGCACATGGGGTCCTGGGGATATGAGGTGCTGGAGATATGGGGGTACAAAGAGCATAGGGTCTTGGGGTCACGGGGTCCTGAGTCTATGGGATCTGGGGAACACAGGGGTCTGGATACATGGGGTCCTGGGGACATGGCGTCTGGGACACAGGGGCTTTGGGACACCTGTGCTCCTGGGCGCAGGGGGCTGCAGACACAGGGGGAGCACACGGGGTCCCGGGCTGGCGGTGTCCCACCTCCCTGCCAGCCTGGTCCACCCCAGTTCTCGGCTTGTCCCCTGCCCAGGGGTGGCTGTGTCTGGAGGCTGGCAGTGTCCTGCAGCCAGCGCCAGCTGCGGGGTCCCACGTGTGTGCGCACACGTGCTCGCTGTGGAACTCGTGGCTCTCGCTTCTCTCCCGGGGGGTGACATGTGCCTGCAGCCCTTCCCGCTGACAGTCACCTGTCAGGCTTTGGCTACGGAAGGGCGAGGAGATGGTTGTGGGGACCTGCTCCCTCATGAGGCCTCCTTACTGACAGCAAATCCTGGGATCTGCTCCGTCCTTATCCCTCCCCAAAGGGGGTTCTGGGCACTTTCTTCCCTCTTTCGCCCTGTGTGTAAGACCCCCGGTGTCTCCCCCACCCACAGCCATTGCCCTCCCCATCGGGAGGGTGGGATCAGGCTCTCCACAGGCGGGCAATGCCGGTCACGGTTGGGTTCATGGCCAACACCTCTGGTTTTTCCATCCCTGGGGTTCCCCAAACTTCCCCTCGCCACTGAGGGAGGATGACTTCTGCTGATTGCTGCTGGAACGGGTGATGTTCTCCACTGTCCCGGCACGACATGTGTGTGTGCACACCAGGGGGGGGATCACCAGGCTGAAATGCCCCTCTCCCTTGCAGCCCAGCTGCGGTGGGGAGCCCACCACACGCTGCCAACCCTCCCCTTGAACCCCGTCAGAGCGAAGCTGGGGAGGAACAACCGCTGCCTTTGTCGTGCCTCTTCTGAACCACCATTCAGGCAGGGGAACAATGCTTAAACTGTGCTGGGTTTGCTTTTGTAGCCTCTTCCCTGCCACGCGATGCTCGCACCAAAGCCCGGGGGTCCCTGCGAGGGGATGCAGGCAGGTGGGTGAGCCAGGCAGGGGACGCCACACACCTCTGTCATGCTCAGGAACTCTCGGTGGCCACACCTGAGGGATGAGAAATCAGGGTAACGTGTGCTGAGCTGCTTTGCTGGAGAGAATTACGCCCAGCGTTTGTCAGTGGGATTCATCACCCGAGGATCCCCACAGATCCACCGCAGCTCCCGGCCTCTCGGATGTCAGCCGCGGCACGGAAAATCCTCTTTCATCCCTCGTGTCCGATTCCAGATGAAAACTCATTAAAGGCAGCCGCTTCCACCCCCCCTGCTGTCGCTGGGGCACTTGCCTGTCGGCTGCATCCTATTACAGCAGGGACGGGGTGACTTGTACCAACAGGCAGGATCAAAAGAAATGGTTTAAAATGGTTTAAAAATAGCCAACTCTATAGCCCTTCCTTTGTGTCTGGCACAGCTTCACCCGCCTGTGCCTTGCTGCCCATCGCTGGTGGCATCAGTCCCTCACACATCTCTGTGCCACCTGCTCCGGGAGACGGCCCTGCCCCACCACAAATCCCAAATCCTTTCCCTGCTGTCACCAGGACGTCATTGCCATCCATTTGGATGTCCAGTGTGGTGACCGATCAGGTTGCCCAGCCCTTTCTACTCATCTTCCACCCACACCTGGGTAAGCCAAGTGGTGTGGTCCACTGGGTAAGCCAAGTGGCCACCCCAAAGGCAGGGGATTAGCGTAGCCACAAAGTCAAATTGGCTTTTGCATAAAGAAATAATATATTTGGCATGGATGGGGACTGGTTTCCTCAGGCCAAGCTCTCTTATAGAGGTGGGGGGACCAGCTCCACCATAGGGTGCTTCAGACCCCAGCACTGGCTTAAAAATAGGCCAGAGCGTGGCGAGTCCTCGGGGCCTCATGTCCAGTGGGTAACCCAGAGGGTGGCCCCTGTTTGCCAAATGTATTTGTCACATACATTCAAAGCAGGAGCCTGTTTGTGGGCTGCACTGGAGAAAAAGTATCGCGTTTGCCCCCAGAATTGTTTATGGCGTGCCCAGCACTAGTGATGAAACATGACAGCCCAGAAAGGTTTTAATTTTGTGCTATATATTTTACCCGCAGACCCATGAACGTGACTTGTTTGTTTGCAGTCCAGCCCGGTTTTAATCACTTTGAATTAAGTAACTGATCTTATTACTGATCCGACTATGAGAGGGCTTATCACAGGTTCCTTGGCACATGACGAAGATTACTCCTTTGGTGCAACCACAGCTGAGTAATGTGACGTGGCCTCTTGGAGCTATTTTTTAATTCACCCTCCTCCAGGATATTGATTTGGTTTTTCCAGCCAGTGACCAACTAAAACCTGCTTCGTGCTACCGAAACCCAGCCACGTAATGGGACGAAAGGAAGAGCTCTGCTGACTCTTGTACCAGACATCGTTTGTTTCCCGAGTTTGTCATTAAATTGAGGGCAGGTTCATATTGACTTACTGGACACGATTGTGGGCGTAATTAAAAGCCATATGAAAATAGGCAGTATCAGTGAGCACACTAAACACAGTTAATATTTAGCGCTGGTTTTGAGTGTGAGAAGAAACATGGGCAAAGAGTACATCCCTCATTTTTGAAAAGGGCTGAGAGATAGAAGTTTTACTCCAGTCCCTGCAAGGATTTTGTGCACGGGTCTGACTGTGAACATTTACCAGTCTCCTCTCTGGAAAGCAGGCTCAGGACCAAGGGTCAGCAGAGTTGGGACAACAGCCCCAGCCCCATGGGGGACCTGGACCAGCAGAGCTGCTCTAAGTCTTTGTCAACAAGTCAGATAGTAACATGCAATGTCCTGTTTAGTTAAAATTCAACATCTTCAGAGAGAAGTAACGAGTGAGGAGAGTCAGGGGCTTGCAGTAGGGGTGCTGGGCTGGAATATACACACTG